AACCATAAAACCTTACCATCGGTATTCCCTATCTTAATACATTGTAGACTCTATACCCAATCTTAATACATAGCATGGAAGACCTGAAGTCTATAACGTATCTTAATACATAGGGTCTTCCATGCCACCCCCCACTTCAGCCTCAACATCTACTACTTACGCCTTTGATATTGAATGAATAAGTTCTATTGATGCTGCGCAAAAAATGTGTTTCCAAAAAATTGACTTTGCAACTTTCCCGAGAAGATACCATTCGCTAACAAAAAAATCAAGGATTCACCGCTTCTGCAAGGACCATTATCGCAACCGTTTCTTTCAGTTGAACTTTGCATCTCAGATTGGATTGTTGAGTTTTGAAGAAAATTCAAAAAGTTTCTAAAAAACAGTCAAAAGTTCTACAAACTGTCAAAAGGTCTATAAGACGGTCAAAAAAATTTGAACAGAAACAAGTTTCGAAACCGGGTCACTCGATTGAACAAAATTGAGAATTGGCACGGTAGTTTTTGCGTTAAGTCAAAAAATTTCAAAAAAACAGTTGAAGTTTCAAAGTTTGACTTGTTTGAAGGCCTTACTTTTTTTAATGAACCAACTGGGCATAGCAAATTATAAAAGTAGGTTTTCAACAAACTGTTGTTACGATTTAACTTATGATATCAGATATGGCAACATATTAAGCAAGAAAAGTCTACAAAAACGGTTAAAAAAAATCAGAAGTTGAAACTTTCGAGAATCAGAGTTTTTCGTATGAAAAAATAGAAAGTATCCCCTTATACAGAAGGGATTTCACGCACCCTGTAGTTCCCATTGAATCTGAAATCTCAGATTTGGAACGGTAGTTATCGAGAAAATTCAAAAACTTTCAAACAAATCGTCAAAAACTCAAAGTTTTGACTTGTTTGAAGGCCGTTTTTTCTCAAACCAAGTGAGCATAGCAAACACAAATGTAGGCCTTTATTAAACTATTGTTTCGATTAAACTTATGTTATCAGATTTTAGAAAAAACGGTCAACAAAGCAAAAAGTTGACGTTCCGAGAACCATAGCTTTTTGTATGAAAAAAGAGGGCGTAGTCGCTCATACAGGAGGGAGTCACCCACCCTGTATTTCCGATTAAAGCTTAAAACTCAGATTTGGGAGGGTAGCTCTCAAGAAAAGTAAAAAAATATTCAAAAAAAAAACGGTCAAAAAGTCCAAACTTTGACTTTTCCGAGAGCCATAACTTTTATAACAAAATCATTCGTGAGCGGCCGCTAATACAAGTGAGCTTCCTAGTGACTTTAATCAACTCTGAACCCATATTATCAGAGTTGACAAGTTAGTTATCGAGAAACGTCAAAAAGATTCATGAAACGGTTAAAAAAATGACTATTCCGAGGGCCATAACTTTGTGTAAAAAATAGCCGCGCAAATACTCTCGCACACACTTTTTCGAAGGCTGGAGAAAGTTTGGCGAGGTAAAGAAAAGACTAGATGAGTTTGCAGGCACCCAGGGAGTCAGCGGTTTTTCCATTCGTACTATTTTTTTTTGAAAATCAACAAACTTCTGAGCAAAAGTGAAATTATTGCAAAAAGTGAAAAAATTTTATCAAAACGAAAACAAAAAGAAATTTCATCAAGACGATTGGTAAACATACAGAAATTTTGAAGAGTACTGAGGGATTGTTAAAATGTGTTTTTCTTTAAAAGACCCAGAATTCGGCCGGTAAAAAATTGGCCAAAACGATTTGGGCCGAGGAATTTTTTTAGCGAAACAAAAAATACTAAGGAAAAACGAAGTCAAAGTAAATAACCTTAAAAATTGTAGACTTAAATAAACCGCTAAAACAAACATTTAAAAATTGCGCGCAGCAAAAAAAACTGTTCCAAGATGTGACAACTAAGCCGACAACAGATGAGCAGACAAATAATTGGCCTAAATTTTTATTTGAAAGAGAATATTTCTCGATTGAAAAAATGGTCTTGGTCAGTTTTGATCTCAGGACCTTTGCCGTCCTAGAAATATTCATTACCTCCTAGCTAAGTTGGGCGGAAACACATAGCTTAAATTTGTTATGAACCAAGATACAAGATACAACTTGTTTAACAGGTACAAGTTGTTAACCCAAAAAAGTCTATATTCCAGTTTGATAACGCTTGCTTATTGCAAGCGTAATAAATTAAGACCTATAAAGCCAAGATAAGCTGAAAAAAAATCAAGCGATCAAAATTATAACCAACGCAAAATGCAAACTTCGATCAAAATTTCGTTTAAAAGTTAACATGCACAAAAAATGTGTTGCAACAGGCCCTATTGAAAAATAGGTCCAGCAGATGAATTTTAGGAAAAAATTTCACGAGAAAAAAGTCTAGAAGACAATTGCAGTACCCTTGCTTATCACAAAGGTAACTATGGAACGACTTTCAAAAAATTTTATATATTTGTCTTGGTTTCGGCTGAATCAAAGTTAATTTAAAGAAAACTGATCTAAGAAGACATATGAGTGCTAAATCAACATCGAAACGAAACTCGAAAGCGGTACCAAGCCTTGCAATTTTTGTGGACACCCGTTGAGCCGAAAAAATGTTTCTTTTTTTACAAAAAACTTAAGTTCAAACAAAGTATTTAGGTCTTACTTCAAAATATTAGGTTTTCAAAAAGTATCAAAACCCGACATCGGACTAATAGGCCGATGGAGATCAGGCCGAAAAGTTTTAAGCAGAATACAATGAAAAAGAAAATAGACGAAAATAAAATTTGAAGTGATAAAATTAAAACCAACAAACAAAAAACAAATTACAAGTCAACGGCCATTCAAAACGCAGACTTTCTCAGAATACGTCTGTTATTTGACAAAAGAACAGCTATGGAGAAAAAAGCTTCTGTCATTGTGTGAACAAATTTCTTTACGAGAAAAAAGAGCATATTTCCCGGTTGCAACAACCTTGCTGATCGCAAGAGTGATAATTTAGGAATTTTTAAGGTTTGGTTCAGTCTGGAAAACATCCAGTACATTTTTCAGCATATGCTTAAAAAATCAACAGCTAATAAAGATAGCCCCTTGGAAAAACATTTTTTTAGCTAATTGAATTGCATTCAGGGAGTCGAAACTTGACTCAATGAAAAGCTCAATGCAAAATTTAGCTTGTTAAGTGTTTTTCTCATCATTATCATAAAATTGACTTGCAGACTAATTCAAGCATAAAAAACAATTGGTCTAACTTATTAAGCCCACCCAATACACTAAACAATAGATCCTCGTGTGATGTTCAAGGAAAAAAGAGCTACCTTATTTTTACTGCTTGACTATAGTTTCAAACAATTGCAGTAGAGGAAGCCGTATTACTAGCAGCATGATTCACTCGTTGATCAGCATTTTCTAGTAGGCAGTTGAATTACGGATTTTGTACAAAAAAACTAACAGCAGTGCTGAAAATACAACTCTTTGATATCTGACGATACATTGATGACTCACCTCTTTCAAGGAAAAGGACCATTGAAACGTTTTTGAACAATTGAAACAATTTTTTAAGAAAAAAAAAATCTTGAAAGATGGTTTTCTTCAGGACGCAGAAAATGTACGAATTTGTTGAACAAAATGTCTATCCGAAGTTAAAGGTTTTCACAATAAGTATTCAACGTCGAATATTTGGCCAAAAAACAAATATTTTTTTTTGATGTAGAACTTGTCTCTGGAACAGGAAAGTTCGAACTATTATTTAATTTTATGCAAAGTTATTCATTGTTTTCCTGAAAGATTTCCGTGCAAATAATCTGTTAATGGGTTCTAAGATTTCTACGCGAGCCTTGGAGTACAATTGAAACTTAATATAGATGAAAAATGACTCGGTAGCTGCAGGCAGACTTAATTGCTTCTTCTTGAGCCATACTTGCGTTTTTGTTGCTTGGGAATCCATTCAAATAAGCACAACTGATCTCTTATTTGACAGTCTAGTGAATGATTAAGTTGAAACAGATGAACTTTTCTTAGGGCATCATGCTTGGCCAGCAGCAGAACCAAACGAATTATTTGTTCAAAACCAAACGAATAATCAAATGCTCTTTTATCATCAACACTAATTAGATCGCTTATAATTATTGCACGTCTTCAATTAGTGCACCAATAGATTTGTAGAAGCTCACTCAAATAAAACTTGTTTGACCGCGTATTCGTAATTTGATTTTCTGTTCCTCTCAAGAAACACTAAACTGTAAACTGTTAGTGTGTCTGATCGAAGTCTTCCTTAAACCAGGTTCCCACCAGCTTCATTTCAATTTTCAAGAAAAATGGATTTTTTTATACTGCCCAGACACCATTGCCGAACTTAGTTAGTATTTCTAAAATAAATATTAATGGCACAACATAGCACAGGTTAAACTAAACCTTGCCACGTTTCGACAAATTTAAAACCAGAAGCGTGACCCCCTTCTTAAGCTGCTGCACACATAGGGACTCTTTAAGGAACGAAGCATCCCTGTGGATAGCCGATACACTGGCGCTTTTCAGTAATGACTCTTCTAGTTTCAAAAATAGACTACTATGCTCAGAATTTCCAGTAGAATAAAACATTGGGTTTTCTCATTTGTGTTAGTTCAATAAAAACTGTCATTCTTAAATGATTTTTGAAAAATCATTGATATTTTACGTAATATATTTTCCCGGATTTTGAAAGCGGAAAAGTGTCCTCAAAATAGTAAATCATTGAGTCATTGATACTTTCTCCAAATGTCTGTTGGCATGTTTCAGATTTTCTTTTTTTTTAACTGCACTAGTTTTATTTTTGCTCACATCGGTATTACAAAATTAATTTTGCTTCCTGATCAACCCCATAAAACATCAAAAACTATTTTCTTTCGTTTAAAACCCCAGGACTGCTTCAAAATTATTGAAAAAGATGTCATGATTTACAGATTCAAACAAGGATTATTTTTTAAGCGTCAATTTATTTGCCAGTGCTTTATTTACAAACTGTCAAAAAAATTCATTCATTTTTACACTTGGCCGATATGTAGAAAACACAATACAAAACAATAACTGCGTCGTCAATTTTGTGAAGTAAGAAATTAATTGAAAATTATGAGAAATAGAAATTAAATATGCATGTAATCTAGTTTTTAAAGAAGTATAAGAAGAAGTCCCTCCTTGATCACTAATTGATCGCTCTTTCTTGGCTTTCGCTCGTAAATTTATTTGTAAGATTAGATTTGAAATTCCTCGACGGTTCTTATTCATCATATCATCATCAGGAGCTACCAGTCCTTTCTAGCTCTCCTTGTCGGCTCTGGACTGAACAGAGCCCAGATTGATACCGGTTGCCACGGTAACACAGAAGGAGAGGACAAAGGCGAGCCAACCACTGGCACACGACCATCCTAGCCACGCCCTCTCGTACTTATGCCGCTCGAACTCCGCCTGGACGAGACTACAGCCGAGCAGAATGCACAGACCTAACAGAACAAAAAAACGTTCATTGAAAGTTCGGAGCAGTGGTAAATTTGGGAAGGGGTGAAGTGAGAATAGAAACGGCAAAGCAGAATCTGCAAATCATTGAATTAGCCCAGAATTGACAATTTCATAAAATTGAGACCATGGCCCTCAATGTAAAATAGTTTCAAGTTTTAAGAAAATTTTTAAAAGTTTATCAAACACCCTTAAGACAAATTCTTTAATTCCAATTACAAATAAAAAAAACTGCTTGTTTTTCAAGCAAAGCAGAAGGTTCGGATCACAGTTATTCAAACAAAAACAAAAAAAAATACATTCAACATAATTCATCATTCGATATGAAAATTTTCTAGACACTGAGATAAAGAATGGACGTTTTTTAAAATATTAAACTGTAAAACCTTTTATTTAACATATATTTAAAATAATAAGCAAATCACGGCTGAATGACCTTTTGATTAACATATTATTCAAAATATTAAGCAAACCACGGCTGAAAGGCCTTTTATTTAATATACACACATGCATATCTACATATCTATACACAGATACATATATTCATATATACACACATTCATATATACATACACATACATAAATTCATATATACATATATGCACACATTCATATATACATACACATACATACACAGACACGCACACACACACACGCACACACATATGTATTGACCCGTATTTGTAAGAGCTGAAACTACTTAGAGTTTCAGCACCAGAACAAATTGAATAAATCTTAGACTACAGTTGTTCTCCTTCTGGATAAACTCCAAGAACTAACTCGTAAATATCAGTATACACTAGATCTATTGAGACTAGGAGATATAAGAGTAAGGTGAAGATTGGTATTAGACTAAGAAGTTGCACGAATCTATCCGGCCGAAAATAAGATAGCGTGACAAGCAGACGGTGTACCTTATCTTGGATCTTTAAAAAAAACTGAACTAAATCTAAAATTCTGATTATCAAGGCTTATCCTTGGATCAAATAGAACAATTTTGTTCTCCCCCTCCCATATTAATTAGTGTCTAACGACCTCAAACGTCGATTCACTACCCAACCCGTATTAAAGACCCAGAAGTAACAGAAATTTTCAAACAGCTAACCATTCTAATTAGGATAAACAGTGAAGAACTTCGCTTACTCATCCTTCACTTGATCCCCTTCCTCTTAAATGACCCAGGCTAAAACACTTACAATAAGTAAGTAATAAAATATTATCTAATGAACTACTGGCGTTCTAATTATACCTGAACCTTGTGGATCGATTTACTATTCTCCAACCCTTGATCAAAAATCACAACCCCTAAGTAAGATTAGGTTAGTCTACCATAACTTAGAATTATTCACGAGAAGGAAAAAATCATTCTCACGAATCGATATATGCTTTTATCTCCAACCCGACAAATACGCCCCAAGTTCAGCTAACCAGAATATTGCATCCATCATCCTAAACCTTGTGTCAAGAGACAAATTAGGAAAAAAAAAACAAACAATTATATTACACAACTATATAATTAACGACGAAAGATACGACCTCGTAATCACACCACACAGACAAACAAAAAGATTCATAAGAACAAAAAGACAAACACTAAGGAAGAAAATTATTAACAAAACAAAACAAATTATTAGGAAACGAGTTTCAAAACGAAGAAACGCAGTCTCAGAATCAGAAACAAGCGCAAAACAAAACTCCACAATTTAAAAGACTCAATAAAAAAAACCAACAAATTGACGATCAAATATACTTTTCTGACTCAGAAACCACGTCACCAGCATAAATAAAAGAACAACGTAGAATAAAAAAGTCATATACAAACAAACCAATACGTCTGTACAATTGGAATCAACCAATGAGACACATTAAAAATTACACGCTAACAGTGATACAGCAGAAAAACGATTCGAAATGAAGAAAACCTAGAAGATTCAACACTCCCATTTTTATTACATCCACAAGCTGAAGCTCGAGGACAGGTACAATTTTGCCAAAATTTAATCATAAATTTATTCGAAAAAGGAGATAGTCCATGCACAGTAAAATTTCCCGATGTAAAAATAAAAAGAACACTTCTTGACCACTATCTCAAAGGCATATGTAGTTTCACATCACAATATGGAATCTACACAATAGAAATCAGTTCACAAAACGCATTTCATGACAAATATCTCATTCAAACTGATGACGTAGATATTCAATTTTCAAAAGTTTTTACAGAAAACATAAAAAATATACAACATCAAAACTGACAAAGAGCAAATTCAATACTCACAACCGATGTATTTTCACTTATCTATAGCTATTTATCTATAATAGAATTGAAAAAACCTCAAGGCGATTCACGAACTCAAAAATCTCGACATACAACCGTACGCCAAGAAATACATATATTTTCAAAACTTTTAAATGCAATCAGTGAAAAAATAACTAGAAACGAAATAACACATGTTAAACACGATTCACAAAAAATCTTAGCATGGTTGATAATCGATTATTTTGTTCATAATATTGATCTTATCGCACTAGCAAGAAAAAATTTTAGACCACAAAATACAGATGACGAAACCATATTAGCAGAACAAACAGATAATGTTTGGGACCCTGAATGGTCTCAGGAATCATTTATTTATATACCAAAAGATATATCAAGCCAAGCAATAGGCACAATCTCTATTCACAAAGATTATGTTAAAGTATACCAACTTACAATTGACGCAACACCTTTAAACTATAATTCATTCTTTCCTGAAAGAGCACGAAAATTTAGTCTAAACTCTACTTTCATAGATCAAGACAACTTAAACGGAAAAAGAAACCTTACACAACAAGATGCACAAACCACATCACATTTCGTAAATGAAGAAATAGTTGAAACAATAACAACAACAGAAGCACAACAAAGCATTTCAACTATTCAACCCAATTTTACAACTCCAAACCATTATACAATACACGGTACAACCCTCTGTTGCTCAAAAATATTCACAAATGGATTACCAAGCGTTTCGACCAGTAACAAAACCATCATATAAACAAAAAACATCACATAGAAATAATTTCGCAGAACATAATTATAATTATGAAAATAGATCAAAAACAACAAAACCTTCTAATATGAATACTCAGAACTTCTCATATTCACAAAGTAACAATAAACCACAACCAACTTCAAACTCAAAAAATTTTTAATGATCAACAATGATCTTCACAAGATCAAAGTGAAAATTACCCATTTTTTCAATGAAATAAAAATAATACAAACAGATACCATGCTAGAAATCAACCTCCTATTTAAACAGCTATTTATTTTCCATCAGATGATGAGGGATATTATAATCAAAACCATCAACGACTTTATTTAAGCCAAAGACCTCGTTCTTACAGTATTGATCAACCAGATATTTTCGAACCATACACACGAGATGAACATATACGACAACCAAGAAATAATCCAACATCATACAATAATATTTTTCAACCACAACACCCAGTCAATACACAATCTTACCAACCAACTTAAATGCATAACGACATCCCACTGCCATATCATTTACAAAAACATGAAATAACAAGAAGTCAACTTACAAACTTTTCTCAAATACTAAATGCCGCAGAATCACTACAAATGACTATGAATCCATACCTAATGGGTGGATCATCAATATCATCGAATAAGCCACTAATGGTGTTTACAGGCACAGATCCTGAATACTCTGTAGAAGATTAGCTAAATGCAGTCACAGCAAACTTAATTATAAATATAGGACCTGAACAAGTAAATACGCCGCTTCATCAAAATTGGATACATAGACGCACAGCCTTAATCCAAACCACACTTGACGGCGCAGCCCAACAATGGTTTTCAGTTTTACCCAAAGAAAAAAAATCAGATTAGAAAAGATTCAAACAAGAATTCTCAAAAATGTTTGATTCTGAAAGAAACAAACAACAACAAAGAGTTTTATGCAATGAAATTCGTAGACTGCCAAATGAAACAATTGAACAACTTGCAGTAAGAATTGAACCAGTAGTCCGAAAAGCATATTCACTCAATCCGCATGATTATAAAAATACAAAGATAACAGAAATCTTAATGATGACTCCAACACCTCAATTACGAAAAATAGCAATAAAAAAGAGAGCATCACATCCTTCCTCAATCCGAGAACCAGATTTAGACTTTAAGAAACTAGTAGATAAACTAGAACAAGCAAAAATCACTATGAAATTAGAAGAAACAGAAAACCCAAAGCTACAATATGTCAACAACATCCAAACCGCTACTTCACAAATAAGTCATATTCATGACTCCGATAAAGAATTATCTAAAAAAATCACTGAAATCTTAAACATCTAGGAGAAAAACCCAAATTTTAATGGTAAACCATCATTCAAAAATGGTGCAATTATTGCCGAAGATACGGACACAGCATTGCCGAATGCAGACAAAAACAAGACAATCAAAATAAACCACAAAAAATAGAGAACCAACTAAATCATTTCATCAGTACATGAAAAAAGATCGAAATTTACCCAACAAAAACATTCATAGTAATAATAATTCAGGAAAATCACTTCCAAATGAGTCAAACTACTCTAGACAACACCCACCTTATAATACGAATTATCGAGGACGATCACCAAACCAAAGAAATTCACGAAATTTCTCACAAAACAGATATAGTCGATCAAACAGTCGAAATAATCAGTATCGAAATAACTATTCAAGATCAAATTCAAACCGACCTGAATTTTCGTTTGCTACCAGTTGCCATTCAAATTCTAGAAATAGATATTATTCAAATGATCGATCTAGAAACTCTTCATATAATAGAAATAGAAATTTTTCCAACGATAGGAATAGAAACTATTGAAATGATCGAAATCATTAATATCAAAATAATAGATCACCCGACTATTCTAACAACAGATCAAACTATCAAAGATCAAAATATTATAATTATCAAAATAGATCACGCAACAA